ATTTGTCAACAAGGGGGTGCACGGGATGAGCCAGATCTCCTTTAACCCGGCAGGTAAAAATCCAAATGAATGACTTTTCTGGACAACTCAAAGGGACCTACTTTTTGAAGCTCGGAAAACCTAAAGATTATATATAATGTGTCAGTTCTGTGTTCCACATTCCGCTTTCTCCCTGTTGAAAACCTTGAATACGGTGTATCCTTTTCTGGGGAACTTGGAATTATTTACCTAGAGCTACTGAAACACCCCAGAAATTGTCAAGGTAGAGAAGGCTGTTGGCCCCGGCGGCAAACAGCCCCCTCTGCTGGCCGTTGGTGCTAATGTTGGTGTTTTCTAGTCTATCCCCTTGAGCCTCCCTCCCTGTGGTCAGTGTGCCCCCTTCCACCCTCGCCACCCCACCCCAGGGGCCCTTCTAGTCATTACAGTTGAGTAGCTGCATGACTAAGGTTTAGTAAACAGGGGCTGGAAGCAGAGAACTTTCCCATGAGCAGCTGCATTAGTCGTTGCATGAGGATTTTGTACTGTTTTTTCCCCCAGTAACTCAGTCTTTTTCTTTTTTTACTTAAGTAAATAACTTTTTCATTTTGGAATAATTTTTAGATTTATATAAAAGTTGTAATTCTAGTACAGAGAGTTCTTGTAAACCCCTCCCTCCGTTTCCCCACGTAGGCGTTTCACATTACCATAGATGGTTCTCCACACCAAGACCCCGACATCGGCCCGTGTTATTCTCTGAACTTCAGGTTCTAGGACCCAGCACAGGGCACCGTGCTGCCCTTTGTCACTATGCCTTCTTCTATTTTTAATGTCTATTTCTTTACTTAGAGAGAGAAAGCACACAAGTTGTGGAGTGGGGCAGAGAGAGAGAGAGAGAGAGAATCCCAAGTAGGCTCCACGCTCAGCATGGAGCCCAACGTGGGCCTCGATCCCACAACCATGAGATCATGACCTGAGCCGAAGTCAAGAGCTGGACACTTAACCAACTGGGCCACCCAGGCTCCCCTCGTCACTATGTCTTCTTAACCTCCTCTGTTCTGTGACCGTTTCTTGGTCTATCTCTCCCGGCCTGGATGGTCGTGAAAAGAACTGGCCAGTGTCTTCTCCAGGATACCTGGCTGTGTTGTATTGTGTCGTACTGTGTTTCTATCTGATTTGCCTGATCCCTCTCTCTTATTAGACTGGGCTTCTGGTTTTCAGAAAACATGCCACAAAGGTGACGTGTCCTTGCCACATATGAGGGGGTACCCAATATCCCCATGACATCCCTGGGGGGTGTTAAGTCCTCCCCTTGGTTAAGCTGGGGTTTGCCAGGTTTCTCCACTATAACATTACTACTTTCCACCTTCGATACTCTGTTCTTCGGAAGCGGATCACTGACTATAGCCCACCCCCCAAAGGAGAGGGGAGGAAGGAGCAGACACTGGGGATTAAGCTCCACCTCCTGGAAAGGGGCCTGTCTACATGTGTTAAATTCCTCTGCAAGGAAGATTGTCCTGGGGCCCCTGGGTGGCTCAGTTGGTTGAGCTAGTCAGTTGCCTTTGGCTCAGGTCACGATCTCACAGTTCATGGGTCCAAGCCCCATGTCTGGCTCTGTGCTGACAGCTCAGAGCCTGGAGCCTGCTTCAGATTCTGGGTCTCCCTCTCTCTCTGCCCCTCCCTGCGTGCACTCTCTCTCTCTCTCTCTCAAAAATAAACATTTTTTTAAATAAAAAAATAATAACTGGCTCTCGCGAGTGGGTAGCAGGCCACCCCAGCACGCCTCCGGTACAGCGGACATGTCCCGGTCCTGCCCAGCTGGACACTGGGGTCTTCCGAGCTGCTTCCACGTGTGGCACACACTACACGAATGACACTTCCATAAAAGAGTTGTCCGGGATCCTAGAAAATCCTGTTTGCAAGTAGCCTGTGCAGCGTCTTGTGGTTTTCACACCGTCTCTTTATTTTATTTTTGTAACTCAGAAAATCTCCTGTTCCCTGTTAACCAATCATCTAAGACCCTTAGGTGAGTATGGGAAGCAGCTGTAAAATCATGACTTCAAATAAGCTCGAAGCTCTAAGGGCGCAGGTGTTAGAGTCAAACGGCCTCACTGCTTCCTGGCAGTGGGACCTTGGGCACGTCACCTGACCTCTCTGAGCTTCAGTTTCTTAACCCTCAACAAGTGCCTCCTCACCTCTGAGATTGCTCTGGTAATAGATGAGAGCACATATGTTAGGTGCACAGCACACTCTCTGGCACATGGGTGTCTTTTTTTTTTTTTTTAATTTTTTAATGTTTTTTATTTATTTCTGAGAGAGAGACAGCGTGAGCAGGGGAGGGTCAGAGAGAGAGGGAGACACAGAATCCGAAGCAGGCTCCAGGCTCTGAGCTGTCAGCACAGAGCTGACGTGGGGCTCAAACCCATAAACTGCGAGATCATGACCTGAGCGGAAGTTGGACACTCAACAGACTGAGCCACCCAGGTGCCTCTTGAGTAAATTATTGACGGGTGTTTGTTCAAGCTGATATAAATTCAGCAGCCGGTGTGTCATGGCTAATCCAGGTGGTTGACAACCTGCTATTTTAAAGATAGTGTGGAAGAAATCAGGGATATAACATATGCTCCCTCAAAAACAAAACAAAAAAACCGTGCAACATACCATATGGTCAGAGAAAAGGAAAAAAAAAAAAAAGAAAAGAAAAAGGCATTAGCATGTATTTTTAAACTCAAGTTTCTAAAAACAGACTCGTTCATAACTGACCTTGACCCCAAGCTCTGTGTACATTCTAATGTGAGCACAGCCCAGAACTAGCTTTTAATTTGAGTCCTTTTCTTGTGTTTGCTTTATCCCTGCCTGTTTCCTTATAGTTACCAGCAGCAACTTCTGAGAAAACCTTGACCTTGCTTATTATAGTGCAAGCATGCAAACCAGAGAAAATCAACTTTTACCTTCCAACTAAAGCCACCCTCAGCCAACAAGCTTGAGAAAGAACACAAAAAGCTTTATACTTTTACTTTTTTGAATCCGAAAAGGCAATTGGAGTCTTTGCTGCATGTACGCGTCTCTGGCTCTGTCCCCCTTAGGGACCCTGTCGTTAGGGCTCTGGCCTAATACATACACCAGCTCTAGCCAGCCTCACCAGGGGGCTGAGCAGCTCAGGGCACCACCTGAGCCAGGGCTCAAGCCAGCCTCCCCATGTGCACCTCCACATTCACAGCAGCCCTCATCACAATAGCCAGTGATGATGGGAACCCAGGTGCCCCCAAATGGATACACAAAATGGGGTGAATTCTGTCACCTGCCACAATGGGCACGAACCTTGAGGACACAACCCTCCGTGAAATCAACCCGTCACCACAAGACAAAGGCTGTACAGTTCCCCTTACCTGAGGTCCCTAGAGGAGTCAAATTCATAGAGACCGAAATTGGGATGGTGGGTGCCAGGGGCTCGGGAGGGAAAAGGGGATGTTGTTGTCTAATGGGCACAGAGTTTCAGTTTGGTAAGATGGAAACCTTCTGAAGATCTGTCTCCCAGCAATGCGCGTGTCCTTGGCACCCCTGAACCGTACACTTACAGATGGTTAAGATGGCAGCGTTTATGTTCTGTGTTATTTACCAGTATTAGAGCAACAGCAGCCTCCATCTCTCCGAGCCTCGGCTCCCCTCCCTGAGGCAGGCTACATTGTCAAGGCCACCGATCACTCCAGATCCTGATGTGATCCCTGGGTCCCCTTGGCTTTGATTGGATCATGCACCTCAGCACTGAACCAATCACTAAAGCAGGGGAATGTGATTGGCTGGGTGCTTAGCCCCACCCACAGCAGGTTGCTCAGCGATTGGGCAGGTGATTCCCCAGACTCTTTGCAAACGACCTGAGTGAGGTCTGGGCTCAACTGGGGAAGCGGATGGTATTAGGGACCCCTGACGGGCTCGCTGCCCTAGCACCCTGATAGCGGTGAGGGCGTGATCTGAGGATCCCAGCACGAAAGGGAGTTCTTCCACCACTACCAGCGACCTCCAGATTTGTTTTCTAGCAGCCTGGGGTAAAGCACATTAGAATTTACCCCTTCTCACCTTCGGCCCATCAGCCAGTAAATATTCAGCTGCCGGGGAAAGGTTATAGGAATGATTGAGGCAAGACAGCCCCTCTGAGGTGGGGAAGGTTCGGGATGGGTGGAGAAGTTAGTGCAGGACAGATGGCCGCAGGGAATAAAGAAAGGAGGAAATCACAGGTGAAGAGGCTGAGATGCTGATACTAAAGAGAACTTGGAAAAGTGAGCAGAAGGAACAGAGCCCTGGGACGCTGCCAAGGCCGTTCCTGAAGCAGATTTAAAGTGGCCCAGTCGTTATGAATGATGGGTCTGATGTCCCCAGGCAGTTGGAGCTTGATGTCCCTGAGCCCTGTCCTCACAGACTCCAACAAAGAGTCTCCAGAGGGAATGCACAGGAGCCTTGACTTGCTGGGGAAAGACTAGAGCTTGAGTGAGTGGAGAATCTTCCTCTTACATAAAATCTAACTGAAGCTATAGGAAGTTTTGTGAGCAGGTGCTCCTATTTGGAAGCATCCGTCTCTCACTATGTGTCTCTGAGCTCATATTCTCCCTGGTCTACACAAGAAATGTGAGCCCTGGGGTGGCGTGAGGGAGGGGCATAGATATGTGGCCCTCCATACATGGCAAACCTTTGAACTTAGTGTGTTTTTTCTGCCAAGAGAATTGGGGTGGGGGAGGAGAGACAGAGACAGGGGTCATCAGACTTCACTCCCAATTCCCTCCTGACCACTACGGGAACGTGGGTAAATTCCTTAACCTTACCAAGACTCATTCGTAATATAGGGGTTGGGAGACCTTCCGTTCTGCAGGACTGTTGTGAGGAATAGAGAAGGAAAGAACAATCAATGATAGAATGCCCCGGTGTCATGGCTTAACCACTAAGCCTGGGGAGAGACCACCACTGAAGCATCAGACATAGGCAAAAGCCAGCTGTCCTCGCCCCTCAGCATGTGTCTGTCCACGATTAGATGGAGTTGGACGTGCTTCCCATTTAATGTAGCCGCAGAACCCTTCCAAGGGTCAGATGGTGAAACGTTCCCTTGGCAGACATTTATGGAGTGTCACCGGAGAGTCAGGTGTAGTAGACGTTGAGGATCAAAGGTTAATGAGACAGGCAAGGTCCCTGCCATCCAGAGCTCTCAGCTTCAGCCGGCAGATGGTGTTAGAAGGGCCCAAGAGCCACACAGTGTGGATGGAAAGAAAGCGGGCTGGGGGGTCCTGAAGAGCTGGGTGTGAATCTCAAGGATTTGTTCATTCATTCTTTCAACCAGTATTCGAGGGCCTGCTCTGTCCGTGCCAGGCATTATTCTAGGTGCTGAGGACACAGGGGAAGCAAGATAGACAGAAAGCCTTATCCTCTTAGAGGTGACATTCTACCAGCTCAGAGGCTCACCAGCAAATCTAGGATCTTGGAAAATCATGGGGTCTTGCTCAGCCTCAGTCTTGTGACAGAGTGTTGGGGGTATCAAATAGGGCAATGCATGTGAACCTCTGGGCAGGATGCCCAGCATGAAAGCTGTCCCCAGGAAATGGTGGTGTGCCAGTGCAGTGTGACCCGTGGTGGGGCCTGCCATCCCAAACTTGGGGATAGTCTGGGGGGGCCTCCTGGGGGAGGCGACTCAGAAGCTGAGCTCTAGGGCAGCAATTATATGTCCAGGACAAAGGTGGGGACCACCCAGCTGATTGGAATGTCCTCTGACCCTCTTGTCTGCCCCTGCAGACCTCCTTCCCATGGATGAGTGGCCCGGTACCTTGGCCAAGACCACAGCCACATCAGACCACACAGCAGTCGGAACAGTCACCCTCACCTCCACAGATGCCCTTCCCCTTGGGCATCCAGCCAGCACCAGTACAGAGGAGCTGGTCCCAGGGGCTTCCCAGACCCACCATGGTCTCGCCTGCCGGTCACATGCGGCCCATGAGCGCTGGAGGGAAGATGTTCTCCTTCGTGATGGATAGCAGCTACAGGCCCCCCATCATCAAGCAAGGTATTTGTGCATGCTTCCTCTGGCAGCTTTAGGGACGGCCTTGTAGCCATGCGAGTGTGCCTTGGTTTTTGCTTTTTTTCTGACTCTGAAAGTAAGCCATAGTCAATTATGAAAAGTTCAGAGATAAACAGAAAGCTAGAAAACAGTTCAAGATCATTTGTCACCCTCAACACCCTCTGTTGACTTTCTGGTGCCTAACCCTCTAGACACCAGAGAAACACATCAGTACCCCCGTGGCAAGCGTGTGGGCGTAGGTGTGCGTCAGTCTGTGTGCGTGTTTATATCTGAGAGCGTAGCAGGCTGTAAGCTTACAACTTTGACTCAGAGGGGCAGAAATATGAGCAACTGAAATCCCCCTCACCCACACCAGCCTTAGGAGGTTTTTAAATATTTTATTACCATTTCACAGGTGAGAGGAGGCTGAGGCTCATTGAGGAAAATTACGTCCCAGATGTGACATATTCAGTCTAGTCTAATGTAACGTTTTTCAGTCAGATTTAAGGCTGGTTATCTCAGTGACTGTCACTCACAGCCTGGTCACCCTGGGGACCAATATTCATAGTTTCCTTCCCTCACCCTCTTCCCCTGAAGACTTCATGGCATTTGGGGAAGGGGACTTCCTGTCTGTCACTGTCCTCTGAGCCTCACCAGCAGAGGAGCCAGCTTGACTTAGTCCTTGGCATGATTCCGGTGCCCTACATGCCTGTGACGTGAAGATCCATTCTCTATCCTCTGCATCCCAGCCCTAGACTCCTTTGTGTCCCCAGGTCTCTCTGTGGCTCCATACCCTCCCCTGGTGTCACTCAGGACCATTCACCCAATCACCTCCTTCGGCCATTCAAATAATCATTGTTGTAAAATATACAAACTGAGGAGTAAATGAGATGCCATTATATCATCATCACCATCATCCTCATCATCACCATCCTCATCATCAACACCACCACCACCATGTTCATCATCATCATTATCATCATCAAATGAACTCCTGTGGGCCATCAACAAATGAAGTTGAGAAATTACCCAGCCATTTCCCCCTTTCGTTTTAATATGAAAATTTTCAAACGTAAAGCAAAGTAAAGAGAATTTTACAGAGAACCTCCCACCTCATTCCACCATTAACATTTTGCTATACTTTCCATTGCATATCTGTCTATCCATCCTTCTATTCATTCATTAATCCATCTTATTCTTTGATGCATTTCAAAATGCACACATCTGTAGTCTTCTCCCTAAATCTTTTAGTGTATATATACCATTAACCAGAGTTCAACAGTTTTTGCCTTTTTGATGTAAAATTAACATGCAATGTATATGTTATCAATTGCTGCATGACAGATTCTTCCAAAACTTAGTGGCCCAAGGGGCACCTGGTGGCTCAGTTGGTTAAGCTTCTGATTCTTGATTTCGGCTCAGGTCATGATCTCACAGTCATGAGCTCGAGCCCCATGTTGGGCTCTACACTGAGCATGGAGCCTGCTTAAGATTCTCTCCCTTGCTCTCTCTCTCCCCCTCCCCTGTTTGCACACATGCTCTCTCTTTTTCTCTCTAAAAATAAAATTAATAATAATAATAATAATAATAAACCCTTTGTGGCCTAAAGCAAAACAAAACAAAACAAAAAAACACAAACTAAAACAAAGACAAAAAACCCAAACATGGGTTTTTTATCTGATACAGTTTCTGTGCGTCAGGAATTTGGGAGCAGCTTAGCAGGGTGGCTGTAGCCCAGGGTCCCTCATAAGATTGCAGGTAAGCTGTCCGCCAGAGCTGCTGTCATCTGAAGTCTTAGCGGGGCTGGAGAATCTGCTTCCAAGATGGCGCGCTCACATAGCTATTGGCAGGAGGCCCCAGTTCCTCACCAAACGAACCCATGCAGAGGGCTGCTGGAATGTCCTCATGAAATGACAGTTGGCTCTTCCTGAGCAAGTGACCCAAGAGAGCAAGATGGAAACCACAACATCTCTTGGGACCAAGCCTCAGAAGCCACTGTGTCATTTCTGCAATATCCTACTGGATACACAGGTCAACTCTAGTGTGGAGAAGACTCCCCATGAGCCTGAACACCAGGAAGTGAGGACTGTTGGCAGCCCTGTCTTGGAGACTGGCCACCACAGTCTGTCCCCTGGTCCTCAGTGATTCACACCCTCTCGCTTGCACAACTCCCTCACCCTCTCCTGAGGCTCCCCAGGGTCTCACCCCACTCCAGCATCAGCCTAAATTGCAGAACCTCATCATCTAAATCAGGTACAGATGGAGCTCACTGGGTGGAGTTCTTTAAGTTCAGGCTCTTATATACCAATCCCATCAATCTGAAGGCTGTGAACTAAAGCGATGGGTTGTCTGTCCCTCACACAGCCAACGTACTCTGGTGGGACAGACATAGCTTACTGCTGTGGACGTGCCTTCTTTTCAAAAGGGGAAAAACGGGAAATACACAGGAGTCCTTGGCCCAAAGCAATTCTGAAATCCAGCCAGGAAAATGTTGGAAGTTCCCTTATTAGGACTTAGACCTATTCTTGCCCAGAAATGACCCTTCATGGCTCTTGCCTCTGTCCTGTTTCCTTTGTTTGGCACTCTGAGTCCTCCTACCTTTTCCATAAAAGGTACCATGTTTGCAGCTGTAAAATGTTATAGTCTGCTACCTATCTATAGACATGTGGGGGTCATAGGCTTCTTTTGCTTTTGTGGGTCTCTGTCTCTGTTAGTCCACACTGGTAATACTCCTAGTAGGGGTTCACCCTACTAGGCAAAAGCCTTCTTGACACAAGCCCTCCTCTGCCTTGGGCTTCTGCCAAGAATGGGCGGGACAGCCCTTCTCAGAAGCCCTGTGCTTTGCCCGATCATTTCCTGAGACACCAACTTGGATCTTTCTGCATTCTTGACAAAGGATATTACAGTCTTACACTCAGCTTCATCTTTGGAGCCTGTTTTCCTGAGAGTGCCCTTGATATGATCTTTGCCCAGAACCTACGTCTTACATTTCATTTACCGTCTGGAGAGAGAGAGAGACTTTTCAAGCCCTGTCGAGCCCAAGCCCCTTGTGGTTTAATAGTCCCTCTATTGGCCTCTCGCCCCTCCTGCAGTTCACGGCGCCAGGAAATAGGCAAGTGGCACCTTCCAGCACTCTGCCTGGGCTCCATCACCCAGTTCATTAGGAACATTTTCTACTTTCCACATCACCACAGGCAATGTGTTATAAAACTTCTTATAAAGGATCCTTGAAAGAAGAGAGAGAGAGACACCAGGGATGCTTGCACATGGAGAAAAGGCCATGTGAAGACACAGAAAGAAGGTAGCCATCTACAAGCCAAGAAGAGAGGCCTCCGGAGAAACCAACCCTGATGCCACCTTGATCTTGGGCTTCCAGACTCCAGACTGTGAGAAACATAATTCTGCTGTTTAAGTTGCCTGGTTGGTGCTCTTTTGTTATGACAGCTGAGCTGATGATTGCAAAGTCCATCCACTATTGGAGAGGACGATACAAAGGTGTGAATACCAGGAGAGAAGAACCATTGGCGCCATCTTGGACGCTGGCCACCACACAACAAAAGGCACCGGGTCCAAATCCTAAAGACACAATTAAGGCACCCCATGCTGTTCCTGGTGAGGACTGATAATTATCTGATAAGGACCAGGAGCACCAGATGGCTGTTAAAATATTGAAGCAACTTCTCTCCCATTTGGCAAATAGCCGTAACTCAGAACTTCCTAAGGTGTCTCTGCCCTCTCCTCCTGCCACCCCACTGCGCCTGCCGTCCCATCCCTCCCTGGGGGCTCTCCCCACTGGGACCTCCAAATGATCCAGCAACTAGAGGGTTTGTTTTGAACGGAGTTAAACCGGTTGGGTTGTATATGGCCTTGGGTTCTCTTTGATATGTAACAGGAGCCAGTAAAGACATTTGGGGCAGTAACAGGAAACTGCTCCAGCACCTCCCTGCATGGGTATAAGGAAAGCAAGTCTCAAATAAATTCCACCCCCATGCAGACCTCCAGTAAACATCCCTTCAATAGCAAAGGAGTCTCAAACCTCATTCAGCCCATTCTGTAGGTTTGATGAAGTCTGGGCTCTGTCCTTTAAGGGCTCCGATCATCACCTAGTAGAAGGGCAGCCATGACGGGCACAGAGGCATTGGAGTTATGCCCAGAGATGGCATCAGACAGCAGAGACCTAAACCAAGACTGGACATGGGCGCCTCCCTGGAGAGGGCACAGACAGTGCTCCCCAGTACTTCAGCCAACCGGCAGGCAGGACCTGCCTCCACTTGACCTTTGGCAGCCTCTTTCTTACACAGAGCATATAAGGGAGCAGGCCCACCATCTTTACCAATTAAAAACCCATTTCTTGCTTCCGGTTTGCTAATTAGGAAAGCCTCAGGTGTCGCCTGCCTCTGGACTGTAGCCTGTCCAGTGTGATGCTGCCCAGCCACCCCAAGCGTGGGGACTCCTGATTAGTGCAACTGACTGCCCCTCGGCCAGAAGGTAAACACATATATCGCATCAGAGTCTCCTGAATATTGAAAAACTAAGTCACAGGCCTATGACCATCTTTAATGTGACACAGGGGCCTCCAGAATTCAGCTGGATGTAATACTCAGGGCCAATGCCATAGAGTTATTGTGGGGGGTTTTTTTGGTCTCACATCTCCTGTATTCCTTTTTTTTTTTTTTTTTAATCCAGTTATAGATGTTGTCAGGAAAGGAGATGTCAAGCAAAGAAAGAGAACAAAAGGGAGAATGTTCCAGTCATGTGCTTTCAGATGTGGTAGCCACCAGCCACACGTGGACTAAGCTAATGTGGCTAATGTGACTGAGAAGCTGTATGTTTAATTTCCACTAATTTAAATGTCAAAACTGACACCTGCTTCCGTTATTGGAAGGTTTTAAGGACGCCTGGAACACCTTGAGTATGCAAATCTGCTTCTCCAACTGCAAGTCTTTGTGAAGCCCAAGTGCACATCAAGGCTTCCCGTTGGAAATTCACCTTCCAAACTGGGACACACAGGGAGTGTAAAATGAAGCCTGGATTTCAAAGACTTAGTGCCCCAAAGAAACAGTGTCAAATGTCTCTGTCTTTTTGGTCTTGATTACATGTTGAAATGATAGGTTTTTGGGTTTTTTTTAATGTATGGGGTTAAATAAAATATATTATCAAAATTAATTTTCTCTTTTTACCTTTTTAATGAGATTAGGACTAGAAAATTTTAAGTTGCCTTTATACCCCGCATTATTTTTCTAGCAGACAGGGCCGCTCTAGACAGTTAAGTCAGGCTCCAACTGCTCAGGGTCCAAGAGGGTGACGTGGGGAAAGTGAGCTGTGAATACAGGTTTCCTAATCATGAACTTGGCTGGGGGATGTTGGGGGGCGGAGAACAGGCAGCTGCTGGAACCAGCACGTGGCAGCAGCAGCTCCCAGAATTCCCCAGCGAGGAAGCCAGAAGAGTGACAGAGAAAAGGAGCCGCCATCTTGGTGCTTTGGGCCCCGGGCGCGGGGCCTGCTCCCCCAGCGTAGAATGCTGACAGAAGATGGGAGGTACCTTCTCAGGAGGGGTGTGAGCACACATGCTTTCCAAGCTATGAGGCCAGAGCACCCAGCAGGGCCTCTTCCCTGTCCACAGAGCAGCAGATCCCCACCATGGTGACAGGAAGCCAAGTAAGTGGGTGGGCGGGTGGGGAGCTTCTTTCCTCGACTATTTCTAGGGAGACCAACTCTCCCCGGTTTGCCTGGCTCTTTCCCAGCTTTGGTACTGAAAACCCCTGTCCCAGGAAGCCCCGCACCCCCTGGCCAA